CAGGAAGCTCTACCTCTTGAAAGACACCAGCTTAACTGTGAAAGCTTACTGAAAAGGACTCTCTGGGGCACCCTTAGCCACCACTCCAAGGAATCACCTCTTTATGTACATATTAGCAACCTACTGACACACTGTCATTACTGCAAGTTGCACCAGCGACCATCCTCCCCTCCCTCCCCTAAAGATGAAGCTACTGAACGGAACAGGTACTTGAGCTTTGTTAGCACCGATTTACTGTTGGAATTTATATCATGAGAACTGCCCACTGGGAGCACTTCAGCACTCAAGATATGTGATGTGCAATTAGCACTGAATACAGCCCTCTGAACCAATGAGAAATATTTCAACATTTTGCATTTCATTTCCAGCTTCAACCCAAAGGACTGTCAATAAAAAAAAATCCCACAGACTTAAAAAATAATATATTATTATTTGCAATAGTCTTAGAAATCTCTTGTATCCTATTAGGTTTCCAATTAGAGCTATCACTGCATACAAATAATATACTGCTAGACCTCCATATTAAAAGAGTGCAACATCTTTGTAAGACATCAGTAGACTTTAACAGTGATGTACTAAGCTTAAGTTTTAAGCTTTTCATAATTCAATTAACAGAGTAAAATAACTGTAGATGTCCAATTTTTACATATTAACATTGATTTCTTATAAAAGAAAGACTGAAAGAGGAAGATGCAAGTCAGCTTCAGAGTGCAATATTGCTCAGATTTAAATTAGGATTAGGCAATATCAAGCAGCTCAACAAGACCTAGTGCTTAATAGAAAAGTGACAATACTGGACCACAGCGTAAGTGCAGTGGCATTAACTTTTGGTGGAGATACAGCAACTGTCAAAGGTTAAAGATTACATTATTTGTTTAAAATCCTTGAAATCATCTGCTTCAAAAAGAAATTCACTGATGCATAGATACAGGGCTCACAGACACAGCTGCCACCTTGCTTGATGTGTGTCACCACTGCTCAAATGAAGTGTCTAGATCTACTAATGCAACATTTTGAAGCTGTCCAACGTATGATCACTGGGAAGACGATTTTAACCAATTAAATAGAAATTGTTTCCACTGCAAGATGAGTATGAGAGCAACAACCTTCTGTATTGAACTCAATAGCCCACAACCGCTTCACTTCCAAAGAAAGAAATGAGAGAGACTGGTAATGCAGACTGCAAGATGACATCTGAAAGAAAACTGAAAAAATCCCAACTCATCATTATTATATCAGGTAGCATGTTATATACAACAATGCAACTGAGATCCCTCTTCCCTGGCAAAACAGTGATATACGCAGTGAAGATGCGCTGCACCCACTGTAACAACTGTTCCTGATCATTCCCAAGTTGCTGCTAGCTTATCCTCTGGGCAGATGTTACGACAATAACGTCCAGTGCCAAGGTAGTTTTTGTTCAAGGACTATCCCCCTTTCCAAGCCTACAAGCAGCAGTCTGAATCCTGCTGGTAAAGGCAAGGCAGTGAGAAAAAGTCTTGGCACAGGTGAGACCAAGCTCAAAATTCCGCCTGGGCCAAGTCCCAGCCAGCCTTGTGTTGCTTTGGAAAAACCTCATCTTGCTCTGCCTCCCTTTGCTGGCAGACGCCATGTTCTTTCTCGATTTAAAAACCAAACAGATAAATTAGAAACGCCTGCAGCAGAGGCTGGGGAGCAGAATGATGCCTAGGTAAACTGGCTGTATGCTCAGATGCCTTGCAGTACTGAGCAGTTGTGAACATAGGACTGTCTCAGAGATTAAGCGTTCATGGAGAAGACACGCACCTTTTCATGTATTAAAAATGCTGAAATGACAGACAGTCTGCAAGAACAGCCCGCCTGTGGCTTTTTCGTGTTAAGCCAGCCAGATACAACCTCCACCTCAGGCATACATTACGTGATACCACTCTGATATTTTTGGTGCACAAACTCAGCTCCCTCCTCTGCCCGAGCATCCCTGGGCAAATCACCCAAAGTATGCCTATGCCATGGAGGGAAGGCAGGATTTTTTGGTGTTCACCACATATAGCTACTGTATAAAAATCCCTGGGAAGACACTGCTGGTACTTTCCAGGAGAATGACTCAGAAAAAGCCCACTGTTTATGTCAACTTGCTAGTGCATTTGGAAACTACCTTGTCCTTTCTAGGAGTTGACCAAATGATAACATAAGCTTTTCCTCTAGTGAAAATGCAGCCCAGTGAATACTTCAGTTCCTCTTCTTCGAGATATGGAAATCACGCAGTAGCAGGTCACTGTAGCGATAAATGAATCAAAAATTAGTCGATGCTACAGGCGCTAGGTTAATACCCTGCTATACCAGAGAGGCATGTATTCCTTTTAAAAGCTAACTAGTTTAGAGAGTAGTTTAAAAATGCTAGAGTTTAAAAATGCTTCTCACCAGGGTGGTGAGAAGACAGGCAATTTCATGGTATGTTGAAATAAGTAATAGCTAATGAAGAACTACAATGTTTCAGTTAAAACTGCAAGTAACAAAACCACAAACTCATACTCCAACTACTCCATATCCCTAGATTCTATTTTTGAGGCTATTTTGCCCTGAACAAGAAGAGTCTGATGTAAGTAGCTAAGCTGTTTTGAAGTTGCACACTTGCGGAAAATAAATAGAATTTCCAAAAACACTGCAGACATGACCTTTTCCGAGGGACATAGCTCAAATCAGAAAGCAAACAACATAGTAACAGCACATGGGAATTCCAAGGTGGCAGAGAATCTAATGATCTCCAACGTAAAGCTGCACCGTTACAAACTGATAGCAACGTCACATTTTTTTTGTTTGTTTTATTTTGTAGTAAGAAACAGTGAATGACTGAACATGGAATTGCATCTTGGTCATGTACACATCACCATACTAGGCAGCTTTAGGAAATATTTAGTTGACTGTTAGAAGGTCTCTTTTTCCTTTCTTCCCTCCCTTTTTTCCTTTCCTTTTTTTTTTTTTTTTTTTTTTAAAGATGCAAGCCCAAAATGCATTAGAAATTTTGACTGGCAGGGAGGCAGTGTATCGTTCTCATATGAAGTTCAGGTGCACCTTCATTTTTCCCTCCTAATCCACCCCATTCCTGACCTCAGGGTAAATATGTTTTTTTTTTTTCTGGTAGTCCACCAAGTGG